AAATAATTAAACAATACTAATTTCTACTTCTCTCCACTATGAAATCTTTAGCTTTATTATTCATCCAGTTCTAGACATGTTTATGTATAGTTATATTCACACAGTATTTTATGAGGTAGTTATGTTAACACACAATCTCCTACAGCAGTGGTTCCCAAGTTGAAGTTTGTGAGACAGTAGAAATACTCTCTTTAAAACATCCCGATAGTAGATGAATCAATATTTTCAGTGAGAATTTTATTTATTACAATTTGACTCATGATGTTTATGCTTGAATTTGTTTTCAAAAACAAATTACAATGAAAAATAAGATACTTCAGAGTGGTTATTATTCAAAATTTCTATCACATCATTAGGAGGTGGGTCCTCAACTAGGTTGTCTTAAGAGACTTCACTCAAAACGTTTGGAAACTCTTGTCCTACTCTACAGTCTTCTTAAAGATGATATGCTGAAGCATTATGGACGCTAAAGTACAGATCTTAGCTGATAAAACTTGAGTAGTTACCTACCAGCACCATAGTTTACTGGAATGTTTGATGAGACACTTTCCTGTTGAAATTAAGTTTATCGCAAAGTTATATTCAGAAAGAATAAACCAGTTTTATTTAAGAAAGGACTTGTGTTGCTAAAGTTTCGTCGGAACGAATTTACGGAAAATTAACTAACGAACGGAGGTGTAACAATACATTCATGTTTTATGCCTGTTTTGTACATGTTTTCCTATCAATTATATTTCCTAGCTTACTAATAAAAAAAAATATAAAATACAAAAAAAAGTAATTAAAGATTAGATTAGAGAACAATATTTGTACTCCAACTTGTCAAAACCCGATGTTAGTCAGTATCAATACATTTCAACCAAAATAAGCAAACTTATGAAAAAAAATTATTTTTTAATTATTAATAAATAATCTCATTATGAACATTACCTCTTACAAATGACAAAGAACAATGAAACAATACAATAATGTAACATCCACTCTAAACTCAAACCAAATAAAAACACAGTTCTAGATATTTTAACTCCAGGCAAGACCTTCACAAGTGCTTAACTTACTTTGATGTCGGAATTCTCCTGGTTGCCCTTCCTGAAGTAAATAT